TGACAGGCGACGTCGTTTTTCATCTTGGTCACGTTGGTGCTATTGATTGAATTCGCGTGACAATTCATTGACTCGTTCTAAAAACGAATCATCCAAATTAGTGGGCACCTGACTATACCCAAATCCTTGAGTGTTAGTGTTTTGTTGTGGTTCTAATCCAAAATCCTCGAAGCTTATCCATCTTTCATGTTCACCTACACTATCGTGCTCATCCCTACCCTCTTGTTGTTGGGACTCGATATGTGAATAATTTGGCTCGGATTGGCTGGCCTCAGAATCATCATCTCTTTCATTTTCCTTTATACCCCCTTCCCACTCTTTCTCATTATGTGCAATATCACCGACATCTCCAACGAATTGTGGATATGTTGGCGGGTTGCTTCCTCTTTCATGCTGCTCATCACCTTCTTCAATATTTTTCTCACCGATAGCCTCAAGGAACGCTCTCTTGTGCAACACTAGCTCCTCTTCTTCTATTACCTATTGTTCTGTTGTGTTTGTGACAAATATTGCGTCCAAGTCTATCGGCCCATAATCTTCAAGCTTCCTTCTTATTTGTCGCTCTCGAAGATTTAAGTTGTAATGAACGTAGACTAGTTTATGAACCTTCTCTGAAGCGAGTCGATTCCTCCTAATAGTGTGCAATCATTGGAACGTACTCCAGTTTCGCTCACAGCCAATAGCAGAACATGTTTGGGAGATCACCTTGATTTCTATCCTCTTTAGATGAGGTGCATCACTACCATATATCTCCCACCATTCAGCTGGATTAAAATGAAAAAAACATTATAAGGGCAAGAACAATTCATAAGATTAAATATATGAATGAACAAAATATTAGTTAGGGGATAACCTAGATCTATCTTAGTTCGAGAATTCTTGGCAAGTCTAGTTTCGAAAGATCCTATAGCATCCCCATACATAGCAAGCTAAAACAAAATATTTCGTTTTAGTGCATTATTCCTCATAAATATAACAACTCAATCAAGTTCTTACCCAAATATTAAGTAATACCTCTTATATTTTTGCTACCTGGTTTAGATGACTTCTCTCCAACCTAGCAATAATGTATCTGACCCCTTCCATAATCTTGTGGGGATGTTCAGGTGTCAAATAGAAAAATTTTGGGTTGAAGTAGTAACCTAGAAAATATATAGACAGAGAAATGTTATTTAAAATTTCATAAAAAAAATAATTTAGAATGAAACATTCTAATGATATAAATATATATTTACCTGCATAATGAATTGGGCGTCCAAATTTGGTGATCCACCTTCTTTCTATAATCTCGATCGTTTTACTAGTAAAACTACACTTCTAGCCAATAACTGATTTGGCCCTCTCGATACCTTCATAAAGGATGCTCATGGTAGCTTTTTTGTCAGTATCCATCATTTTAACACCGTGACCAAAGGGGAAGTGGCCTCTACGATACTGGAACATTGAGATCAGAACCTTTTATTTGAGACTATGCCGTCCACTTTTAGCCCAGTACTGGACTTCGAGAGGCGGTCATTTAACCACTCTTCACTGGTAAACAATCTCTTTAATGCACCACTCTTCACTGGTAAACAATCTCTTTAATGCACCTTCAAATTCCTGAATGGAGTCCACAGCCAAGTAATCTGTCGTAAAGCGGGTTAAGACAGGCCTGATTATCTCTTTTTTCTTAAACTGTTCTTTGAACAAAAATAAAATTTTAGAATGGTTATATATAAATCTTGTCACCAACCTCGCTTCCTGTAGAGTCTCATTCACAATTTTGATCTCGCCGATTTCCTCTAACATAAGATCGATGCTGTGTGCAGCATATCGGGTCCATATTAGATGCTTCCTCTTATCCATCAACTTGCTGCCCGCAGAAACACACGCACGCGCATTGTCCGTAATAAACTGGACTACATGCTTATCTCCCACCTCCTCAACTATCTGATCATATAGTCATACGAAGAAGTTTGCATCCTTCTTCATCCCTGATACGTCTTTGCTAGACAAAAAAACTGTACCTTTTGAAGAATAGGCCAAGAAGTTTAAAAACTTTTTTTTACTAACTTTATTCAACCAACCATCACTCATAAGAGTAATGTCTGTTCTTGGCCAACTCTATTTATATTCTTCAATCCACTTTCTAACTTCCTCTACTTCTTCATCCAATATTGGCTCACTGAGCTCATATGTCGTCGGGGGTTTTACCCCGGGCCCGACTCTCTGGATTGCGTTGACCATAGGTGAAAAATATGGGCTATTGGCTGCATCAAAGGGGATCCATTTATTGTAGAACCATTTACCAACATATCTGCCCAACATGTTTCTCGTACCTTTCACCATGCCTTTGAGGGTCATCTGTTCTGACTTAGGCTTTGAGAGAAATGGGTCTATACGATCATGACCTGCAATACTAGCACTCCAAGATAAGCTAGAAACAATTTTTTCATCGTCTGATTCCTCTTGATACATATTTTCACCAACCCCTCCATACATATTTGAGCTGGGCCCGCCATACATGCTCGAGCTGGGCCCGCCATGCATGTCTGAGCTAAGCCCACCATGCATGCCCATGTCATAACCATCAGGCATTCTAAACCCGCGTTCCCTTTGGTATATTTCCTGTAAACTCATTCTCGTGGCCATCTCCAAGTCATTATTATATTGCTCTTCTGGATCATTCCCGCTTGATGGCGTATATAAACTAGCTATCTCCTCATCCATCCTCTGCTTTGCAAGTTTATCTTTGGTAGCCTTGAGAAATGCCGTTATCTGCTTTCTTACATTATTAGGGATACTATTACACGCAAAAACATTTCCCTTAACCCTTGTCAAGTGTTGTTTGAACCTATGTACCCCACTACTTATCACTCTTTGGCAGTAATTACAAATAATTTTATCTTTTTTGTTGGATCAAGTCTGACCCCATGTTGCCATGCAGGGTCTTCCGCAGATCTTGTCATGGTTCAACTGTTTTAATATGTAAAAGGTTAAAAATTAACCTGACAGTTCAACATGAAAAATAATCACCATGTGTAGTGATAATATGTAGGGGTAGTTCATGAAGTTAGATTTTTTTTTAATGCCAAATATTTCTATTAACAAAAATATTTTAGTTTCTACTGGAAAAAATATTTTATTTATGCAACATTATAAATAAAAATAGCCTATATCAGTCATTCCATATAGTACAAAAAATTTACATTGAGATAATATCAATAAAAAATATATTTACAATGGTATAGTAATTCACAATGCCAATACATATGGACTTGTCACAAATCTTCATTTTGACAAACATGAATTAGTTCCTATCGAGAAAAAAAAATTATCTATGCAATATTATAGATAAAAAAAATCTGTATAAGTCACACTTAGAATTAAGAAAAAAATTATAATACTACAGTCATCCATAATGCCACTACACGTATATTTGACATAAAAAACATTTACAATGATATAGTCATTCACAATGCCACAAATAAAATTTACAATGCTATAGTGGGTACAATCCCAACTCAATTGAAATGATCACGAATAGTTGTACATCTCAATTACAAATATGCAAGATAACATAATAAAAAATGCAAGCTCCAAACATGGCTACAACTCAATTATCAAGAACATACATTTTTTGCATTAAAAATTTAATAATAAAATTGAAAAATGCAAGATAATATAATTATCATGCATGCCACGATTTTTTTGCAGCGATATTCACTTTAATTCCTCATGATAATCCAGTTTAACAACATGTAGTTTTTGCATTAAAAATTTAAAAAATTTAAAATACATTTTTAATGCAAAACTGCATTAAAAATATAATACAGTTTAACATCATGTATTTGTTAATGTATTTTTTTGCATTAACAACAAATTAAAAAATACAGTTTTGCATTAAAAATATAATAACATGTATTTTTTTACATAAATAATCTATCAACATGCAATTTTTTGAACTAAAAATTTAACAATAAAAATTAAAAATATTGTTTAATTCCTCATGATAATAAAAAACTGATCACAATTTTTCGAAAAATCACAATTTTTCAAAAAAATTGATCATGAATTAAAAAAAAAAAAAACACAGTTCTTCACAGATCCACGTAACATCAGTCGTTCCAACTAAAAAATCCA